CCCTTGTCTGACTCCTGTGTTTACTCCAAACGCCTCGCTGAGTTTTCCGTTGTGGATCACTTGACATGTGCCGTTGTCGTACAACTGTTGAATAAGGTTGATGAATATTTGGGGTACGCCGTAGTACTCGAGTAGTTTCCAAATTACTTCGCGGTCAACGCTGTCGAAGGCCTTCTCAAAGTCTATGAAGTTGAGGTAGAGATTTGATTGCCATTCCATGCTTTGTTCGATGATAATGCGTAGAGTTGCAATTTGGTCAGAACATGATTTGCCTTTCCTGAATCCAGCTTGTTCGGGTCGGAGTTCTGTATCCAGTGCGTCCTTGATTCTCTCCAGGATGATGCGACTCAGGATTTTACTTGGCGTCGACAGGAGCATGATTCCTCGCCAGTTCTTGCAGAGTCCTAGGTCGCCCTTCTTTGGTAGTTTCACCAGGTAACCTTTCCTCCAGTCAGTAGGCACCTTTCCCTCTTTCCAGATCTTTTGCAATAATGGAGTCAGCATATCTGCCGTCGTTTCTGGGTCCGCTTTCAGTGCTTCCGGGGGTATTCCATCTGGTCCAGCTGCTTTTCCAGCTTTCAGAAGCTTGACTGCATTCATGACTTCAGTTTTCGTTGGAGGATTGGTGTCAACTTGCAGTTGTGTACGTGCTGTTGTTGGTATTACTGGACGGGTTGTAGGTGGTGGTCGATTCAAGAGTCCTTTGAAGTGGTCCGCCCATTGTTTAATCTGTCTTTCTTCTTTGGTAATTGGGTTTCCTTGGCTGTCTTTGATAGGTTTCACTTGTGTTGATCTCTTCCCGGATAGAGACTTGGTTATCTGATATAGTGTCCTCAGGTCCCTTTTGCCTGCTGCCTTCTCAGCTTCAGTAGCCAGGTTGTCGTAGAATTGTCTTTTGTCCTTCCTGGCACTCTTCTTCACTTCTTTGTCCAGTGCTGTGTAAGTTGAGTTCAGCGTCTCTTTCTCTTGTCCATCTTTGCATTGAATCATTTTCTCTTTCACCTTTCTCCTCTCCTCTATTAGCTTCCAAGTGTCCGCTGAGAGCCATTCCTTGTCTTGTTTCTTCTTTCTTCCTAAAACCGTTGAGCACGTTTCGTTGAAAATTACCTTCAGAGAGTTCCAATGGTCTTCCACGGATGATTCCTCAGTGGTGCCACGTAGTGTTTCCTGCTTTGCTCTGACAGTTGCAGTGAAAATGTCCTGTGTGATTGTGTCCTTCAGTTTGTGAGTGTTGAACTTGCATTGTGGCCTATCCCCAGGTATCCTCGAGGCTTTCAGCTTCACCTTGAAAGTCCCTTGTACTAGATAGTGGTCTGAGCCCACATCTGCTCCTCTCCTCGATCTTGTGTCCAGTAGGCTCCGTCTCCACTTCCTTGAGATTGAAATGAAGTCTATCTGGTTTTTGGTATGTCCATCTGGTGAAATCCATGTTGCCTTGTGTATATCCCTGTGTTTGAACACACTGCCACCAATCACCAAATCATTGAAGGCGCAAAAGTCTGAGAAGAGTTCGCCATTTTCGTTCATTTCACCGAGGGCCTCCCGACCCATGGTGAGTTCTCTTCCTGTATTGTCTCCTCCCAGTTTCGCATTCATGTCGCCCATCAGGATTTTGATATCGCTCTTTGGGACGTTGTCCATTACTGTTTGTAGTTGACTGTAGAAGTCCTCCTTCTTCTCATGTTCTGAGGCGTTTGTAGGCGCGTAGCACTGAATGATTGTAACCTTTTTTCCTTTTGAGTTGAACCTGGCTGTCATTATCCTGGAGGAGATTGGTTCCCACTGCATGAGAGCTTTAGCCGCTGTTGGTGACATCATGATGGCTACTCCCTCGGTGTGCTCGTGATTGTCCTCTGGGTGACCGGAGTAGATTATTGTCTCTCCAGTTGATAGTTGGCTCCTTCCACATCCGTTCCATCTGCTCTCGCAGATTCCCAACACTTCTATTTTATATCTCCTCATTTCTGCGGCTACCTGAGCAGCCTTTCCAGCTTCGTACATTGTACGAACATTCCACGTCCCCATCCTTATTTTCGCTTTCATCGAAAGAAGGCACATCGGCTGACTGGCTTCCCGAAGGCTTTCACCAGCCCGCGTCATTTCACTTCCCCGATTCCAGCGAAAAATAAGGTCACTATTTGTAATTTTAGAATTTTGAATATATTTGTGCGTTGAAGTTTTAGTAGCAATTTGGTAAGTTTTGGGGGTGGAGTTGCTAGCACCACGCCCCAACCCTCCCTCTTTATCCGGGCTTGGGACCGGCTAGAATACTAGTGACCTAGTAATCTAGGCGAGGTTGAAGTGGTATAATAGGGTGAGCAATATTGAGGTTAGGCACCGGTCGAGTGCTAGGTAAGGAGGGGAAATCAATCGACGAGGCTGTGAAGTTACATCGATTGAGATGGTTACATGTGTTACGTATGCCTAGTCATCGCCTTCCTCGACGGGCAATGTTAGCTGACTTAGGGAGGATCAGGTTGGAAAAGATCCGGTGGTGGTCAAACCAAAACATGACGCCAGTCAATGAAATCCACAACAGTTAGTCTAAGCCACGTAGGAAGGTGTAGACTTCCTGGTTGGGGTCCTCGGGACGGTAGAAACCAATGGCTGGAGACAATCGGTGATATGGCTCAAAATCGTTCTCAATGGCTGGCGCAGATGCATCCACTCCTTGTGACTTATAATTTCCAATGAAACTATATCGCTCTTCGTTAATACTATTCCTTTTGCCTCTATCTGTCTTTACTGTCTCAATTTGGGTTTCTTTTTACTTTCTTCTTCTCTTGCTTTGTGTGCTACATGGGTGTGGCGACTTGAACTGCTGCACATCTGTGCAAATTTCTATGTTGAAAACAGACAGACAATCGTATACAGGAAGATGAACTGAATCCACTATTTAGCGCCTTGAGAAATACTTAGTTAGAAATTACCAGGTGGGGTAGAATTCGAAAGTACGACTAAGGTTGGTAATCTAGTAATGTGGAGAACCACAGGTCATATACCCACAAATGAATCTGAGACTGGAAGGTTAAAAACTCTGTTTCCTTCTCTCATGACAATGGAAATGCTATTTAATGCAGCTTTAACTGAATGCTAAATAATCAGATAACAACTAACAATCATTCGAACTTCTTTTTCTTAATCCGCACAGTCTTTTCGTCTGACACATGTCAGATACAAACGTTTTTAGCGGCAGATTATAGTCATCATCCCATATCCTTTGAAACGGTCTTATGTTCAAAAACTTTTGTCCAACATTAACTTTATTAACCGGTTGCTGAGGTGATCAATGCTTTCTTCATGATTATAATTAGTGCTTCAAGTTAGTGTTAAATATTTAGCATACAATCACCACTAATACTTTAATCCCCCTAGGCTTGAAGCAAATCCATTTTAGCTACCTGTTTCTTTTATAGCCTCAACAATGTAATAATAAATGTACGTTCAGCTTGGCAGAGAAAGCTTTGAAGAAAACCTACTATCCAAAAGTCTTACTATGCCATGATGTTTGTTGTCGCCCTATAGAAATGTTAGATTGGTCTTAAACAAGAACACAATGAATGAGGACACTTATATATATATATATATATGGCCTGGTGAAATTGGTCACTGAACTATAGTTCTTAATTGTCTGAAACATATTATGCATCAGCGTTTCCTAAGCGATCTGTATACCCGGACATTCAATCCTGAAAGTTTACATCATTCAGTTAGAATATAGTTTTCATATATATTAAACTTGTAATCTACCGTTCATGTGACGTAAGTAAATATAATTACTTGTAGTTTCTGTTCGCATTGTCTGTTACCTAGGGCTATAAATCTGCTTTTTCAGTTGATATTTTGTGCCTTAGTTGTATATTACTGTTGTGTTGGAAGTAACAGTAAAAATGAAATCAAATCCAGTATCATCTCGCTGTCATAACAAAAATCGTGTTGTCAATAGAATCTCTAAAGAATCCAGGTAACGCCTTGTCACAAGGATAATTTCAGGAGGTGAAGAATGAACTATTAGTGACAGATGTAAGCTAAGAATAGGTATGGTTTCAAATCAATATGTCTGATAAGGATAAGTGATAGCATACATAAAGTCAGCAATAATCTTAGCAGTTATGAATAGTCGAGTAGTAATTTCAACGATTCCCGTGTGATTAAATGAAAGAAACGATTGACATATCAGTTTGGAACTTTGCATCACTTCAGGTTGTCATAATTTAAGAGAAACACATGAGTCTGGAAGCAAATCGGGTGGTACAATAGTATCATGATGAAGGATTCCCGACAATATGACAAAAAATCCCTGACCACTGATTTTTACCTCCAGAGTACCCCACACAGATAATCTACACCTCTCTACTAACAGTTAAAGACTACTGTAACTGGTGTTATGCTCAGGTCACAGCACCCGTAACTGTCTTTTAACCTGACATTACTTCAGCTAACATTACTCATTGAAGAATACATTGGCTCACTATGCATAACATACGTCCTAGCTACACCGAACGCCAACAAATCAAAGGCACCTATAATCTAAAAGTTCTGATATCTTTGTCTTCCACTCTCAGCGGCTATACAATAGAACAAAGTGGACTACTGGGTAATTAATACGCATACAGTTATCATTTCTGTGTATGTGATGACACAAGTTATCGAATAGCACATGCGTATCTTCCTACCGTGTTGACACTTTATTAACAATCTGTTTAATCATCAAAATCAAATGCCATCTTCAAGTCAAGAAATACAACAGGTGTAGAACACCACAACGTTTATTTCCCAAAGGCTATCAGGACCTGCAACCTGCATGGGTTTCTTAAAATGGCTGCTCCCAGCTCTACTTAGTCTTCATATGACCAAAACCCCTAAGACTTATGACGTTATGTTAGTCAGACTGATTCGCTTGTAGTTACCACAATAAGATTTGTCTCTTTCCCTACAAGTAGGGATGACCAACGATCCACAATATTATACTGAAACAGCTTCTAAAAGAATATTATTTACACGTTTGTGGATGATCCTTTACTGTTCCATGAAATAAAAACGCATCGTAGATATCAAAAGTATCTTTTCTGAAAGCGGAATAGTGACACAACAGTAGTTTCAACTAAGACCTGTTTTTGTGTTTCAAACCTTTTGGAGAATTAGAAGAACGACTTTCTTCACTGCTTGAGGAAGTATCCGATGAAGAACTGTCACTAGAACTTTCGTCACTGCTGGAGTTACTTTCCGAACTGGAGTCTTCTTCACCAGATTCAGCAGAAGAACTTGAAGTTGAAGATTCACCGGAAGAACTAGAGCTTGATTCTGATGATGACGTTCCACTACTTGACCTTCTATAAGATTAAGAGTCAGTGAGCTATAACAAACATACTTCTTAACCTTAAGCTTTTTCTGAGCTTCAATTTTCTTTCCCAGTATGACGGTGTAGGATTCCCGCTTAAGATATTTTCGTTTGCCTGTGCACTGATACGTCCAGTGGCCTTTTTCCAGACATTTTTGACAAGTAACAAGAGTATTGTCCGTTACCCGGCTACATGAACAAAGAAAATCGTGTAAAAATCTCTTAGTATCACTACGTCAACCATCAGGGAGAATCAAATTAAAATTTTCAGTTGCCTGAAGCTAATGATTTCAGATTAGTAACGTCACAATTTCCCATACTACATGTAAAATATACAAAGCTCGAAATTTGATATCATTCACAGTTGTGTAAAAAATTATGCGAAATAATTCCTGTAATAACCTTAAATCAACCAGCTAAAAGTCGATTATCTTAGCGCATAAAACTTTAAATGTATCATACGGCATAGTACTAAATTTGTACCATGCAACTAGTTTTAAAATGCAACCAATCATACCTAAATTACTCAGAGAAAGAAATTGCACAAATATCTACATCATGCTTAGATTCAAAGCTAAACATTAGTCGCTGAACAGAAAAGTCGTATCGCGTAGCTAGGCATATCACCTGAGACTCAATTTTCAAATATTTTAATTGCTTGAATCCGTAAATTTTAACGGAACTCTACGTTTACTTCTGACAACTAAACCAATGCATAATTTCGTATGAAAGGTATGATCAATAGGTTTACAAAATAAATTGGGGACTATCTTGTAGAAACAGATTCTCATCGAAACGAGCAAAGTTAAAAACACACAGGACAGTTGTTACGTTTTTTAGTTTAAAATGTGATGTTCAAAAGTCAAAATTTATATATATGTACGTGTATATTAGCCAGAAAATCACCCAAAAATTAATGCAGTAAAATATCTTCTGAAAGAAAAATGTGGCTCAACAATTTCTAACTTGAATTTTTTACAACGTAATCAGAAATAATAGTAATTAGTCATCGGCATCACTCAACATTAAAATTGATTCTGTGTTAGTGTCATCATGAAGCTCACGTAGACCACATACATGTTCCAGATAAGACGCATCATTGAAAACATTTTGTAGGAAATCAAATTTATTTGTCATGTAGGCATCCAGTACAGGCTGAGAGCATGCTGAGCACTTACTAAATGCTAACGTAGCAGGTAAAACCTGTGTATAATGGGAAAGAAAGCCTCTTATTTGGTGAGGTATAAGACCAAGAGATGTTCTATCCGTATTTGTGTCATAGGATTGAGATAATGTGTCCGCTGGAGCATTATACATAAGAGGATGTTGAAGTACGCTGACCATTAGTTCTACAGCAAGAGCAGCAGCAACCATAGATACTCCCGGTCGGGTAACAGTACACTGTTGATCCAAGCTACGATTACGCGTTGAATTCATAGGTCCAACTACATCATTACAGAAATAACAACCCAAAAGCGAACCAGGTATGGCTTTTGTTTCTGATACAGAACACTTGTTTCGGATATCTGTACAAATCGGGTTTGAAGAAGCGATATGTGAATTTAGATCCTTCATATCTCCTGAGCATGGTGACATAGCCGGACTGCGGACCCCATGACGCATGACCAAATATGTATCAAAACCCAAAGCAGCGTTAATAACAAGTTTCCCGTGAACATTCGCTAATACTGTAGGTAACCAGCGAGATTCTCTGGTATCTGTTAGCAAGAACAGAACATCATGTGCACTGACCAAGTCGCTTAACTTGCGACAAATACTTGCGGACTTTTCTGACGGAGTCAGCTCGGAATCATCAGATGAAAGGTACGAAGATACAGGATGTCCTGGCATGGGTATGCAGATATCGTATCCATGGGCTTCTACACCCGGAAAAATTGCCTTAAGTGCTTGGGCAGCAGTTATAGCTTTGTTTTTACTAGCATCCAGAGAGTCAGTGAAAACATACAAAGATTGTCGTACAGGGTTAGAAAATGAAACTGTGCCGTTATCAACCAGTGTAATGTGGCGAACTCCCCAAGCCAAGAGCTGACGAGCAACATTGCAGCCCAGAGTACCTGCACCAATGAGCAAACACTTCGTTTCACGGAAACGTGAAAGTTTTAAATCTGGCATAAGTCTCCACTTCATTAGTTTCAAATTTAAGTCCACTGCTGACTCTGCTAGTTTAACCGGGTCCATACTTGTACTGAGGTCAACAACACGTGGCTTTAGTTGACATTTCCATTTCTCCCAACCAACAAATTGGTTGAAGTTTGAACTAGTCGATTGTAAGTTAGCATGAATTACGATACTATGTTCCCAATGTCTTTGTCCTGAAGCGAAACGGTCTCTCAGACACAATATTTTAACAGAATTTTCTGTCTGGATAATAGTAGCGGAGATTGAGTACAACAGATTGCGTAGGAACCAGCAAGGGAACATTGGATTGACAGAAGAATCACATATACCAACATACACAGAAGAAGACAGTTCAAAATCTGACAAGGAGCTAACACTTATTGTTGGATTCATTTTAAGGACAAAGAATGGAGAATTACTTTGTTTGCGCCAGCAGTCATAAGATTGTAGAATATGCATAACCTGGTTCTCAGTAAACTCTTCACTTATGCTGTTAATTTTCGTATAAGTTGGTTGTATGGAGTGCATGACAGCCGGATATGCAAACCAGAAGTAAAATTTATGTTTCTTGAGGTCACAATAAGTTAAGAGTAGAAACCGGAGAAGTAGCACAGGATTCCTTAGGAATTCGTTGCCTAAAAGGGCTTCATTCATAAATTTAGCGCCATGCTCATCCAAAAAAGACTGTTTGTCAAGACTTTTGAACTCGTCTAAGCTATTCAAAGTAAATAACTGGCCCAGAATTTTGAAGCTGGATGGTGACTGGCTTCGTTTCACGCTACCATCGCTAAAAGATGTTATATCGACTGTCACCCTAGGAGATACACCAGCAGCGTGACTGTTTGTGAATTGTGCTGAAATTTCAAAAGGGCCTTCAGAAAGCCGGTATTTATTGAGTTTTCGATCTGCCAACCCATGCCAGAAGGCTGTATCAACTACTGTTTCGAAAGGGACAAACTGTAAAACTGACATTTTAACTTTCACCTAATTAAAAATAAAACATTCTTCTGTAACTGCACTAGTGTAAACCAACAATCAATTAATCCGGAAGTTACCTCTGAAATAATGTCGGAAGTCTTGGCCTTCTCTGGCCTGACATTAGTACCGCACAAACAATATCACGCGGCTTGGAACAACAACAAATTTAACACCATCTTAATATGTACCTGAAAAATTTGGGCTGTGAGCTTTCCTTCCAAAGCCCACACTTAGTATTTAGTTTATCCCAGTTAGTAACTCAGTAAATTCCACGGTATTATTGCTCTGATTTTTTGGGAATTCCATACTTGTTGTTTTCAGGAGTGTTTTAACGAAATATTATTTTAAAAAGATCGATTTCTCTAGGCTCTACTCTTGGTAATGAAGAAATGAAGTGGCTTCTGAGTCTGTCTGAATTCCTGGGTTATCCTCCAAGTCACTTGTCTGTAATAGCTCTGGTAGACCGAGCCCAGTTGCATTCAGACTGGTTATTTTTAATTCATAGTGTATGGTATTATAACCATGGCGCTCTTTTGAGTGAATTCCATTTAATCCTCCATGGTAGCTTAGTTTTGTGTGACAGAATGGGAAAGAAATAATTTTATATTGCACTTTTCAATGCTATACGATGTTTTTAAATGGGGACACATCTCGACAAGCTCGAATATTATTTTCCATAGTGCGAGGCTGTCCTGCAGGGAGAACAAAGTGCGCTATTTTGGGAGGGACTTCAAGCTCTAATTTTTTTCTTGATACTACGAAAATTACACATTTGTCTGATGTTGAAACCGGCCGAGTCAGCAGTTACATAGGGGTTGTTCGGATATGCGGTATTAGTGGTACTGCGATCGAAATCAATAAACTTGCGACTTGCAGCTTGTTGGTTTCACAGACGTTATGATATCAATGCCCAAAGTTATACGCCTCCCTGGGCCTTTGGCCCTCCTAAATTTGGAGACGTCAGACCCAGCAGGTAATGGAAACTTACGTCGTTGATTAACGAATCTCATCGCTACTTCTTTTATTTCACAGATCGTAACTCTAAGTACGCTTCCTGATTGATATTGGGACAGAAACTAGCGTAATCCCACCTACGAGAGGAGCGGTCAACTTCTTGACGACGGGGCATCGCCAGTGGTTCGACTGTGACAGCTTATGAAAGAAGCTTCCTGAACCTCAACATCGAACTTCTCTTTTCTTTCCATCTTGTACGTTGTGACTGCTGAAATTATTGGTATGGATCTCTTGCAGCGCTATCACTTGCTGACAGATGCAAGCAAGCATTGGTCGATTGATTCTACCACTCGACTCTCTGTCTGCCATATTGTTGTTTTATGAGCTCAGGGTATTCAACCCCAGTCACTTCAAGTCCGTAATCTACTATAATCCAGTCGTTTGTTGATACTTTCAAACCAAATCGTGATATATCCGATCCACCTGTCTTCGCCGAACCACGACAGTTATCTCAGGAAACTCTGAGCCGTTACGGCTGAGTTTGAACACAATCTCAGAATGGGGAGAGTATGCCATTCAAAAACCTGAGATCTTGGGCACTATATGCGGTACCATAGAACGACTTCATGGACTGGAGTCATTAAGGGGATTACTGGGAGCTTTAAGCACACACAGTCCCAGATCATTATCCAGTCACACACAAACACGAGTCTTGAAGTCATCTCTGAAAAGTTCGACTGCATTCAGCGAGCTTGATAACACATGCGATTAGCATCAGGTCCTCGTACGCCAGCACATGCTTTGTCTCGAGAGGTCGATTGATCTGGCTATTCTTATATGGGCTAGCTGGTGGCATTCTTGTATCATCTCATGCCGTGAAGTCTGAGGTATTACCGCCAACCAACTTTGATCGTTCTCTCGCCAAGTCAGAGTTTCGTGGGCGTTCACTCGTAATCTATCTTTCTCTCTGAGCAGTGTAGTCAGCCGTAGACTGATTCACTGCTGTTTCGTCGGTAATCACCTGCAGGCCTGTCTTCAGGGTATGGTTAGATTTCTGACTATGGGCAAGTCTTAATGGGTCTTGTTCCAATGAATGCACTCCGCAAACAACCTCCGGTAACTCAACTTCGTCCTCCGCTCTAAATAAAAAGTCTTTCAAAACATTTTGTTTTGTCAGGGACATGTGAGATCGTGAAGTCATACTATAATAATAATTATAATTCGTATAAACTGGTGTTTACAAGAACTGCGTGCCATTTTTACAGGCAGAATCGGTTGTTATAAGCTACATTTGTGAAGTATCATAAATCAATACTTTTTCAAAAGTTTAAATTGTTCGGTTATTGTACAAGTAATCAAAACAGGTCCGTATGGATGTTAAATTGTAAGCCCTTCACTAAGGTCACCTTCACCATCAAGACTGAGCGCCAAGCCAAACTTCGTTCCACTGCCCGCTGATAGTTATGGTCGACCAGTCAATGGCGTACATTTGGGTAAGTGCTATGCTCCCACGTGATTAAAAGCTATTTCCGGAAAAGGAGAACGTCCTGGGAAACTGCAAAATGGCATAAAATACAATTGTGGATAACACATCATTGGAAATGCATTTACAAGACATCCACAAGAAGGAGCTGGACATCCTTGTAATGATAATATACATTTACGCCAAAGTTAAGCTCTAAGAGCCACTAACTACTGATTGGCGAATGACCTCGAACTCACCGATCAAGTGAAGGAGGTATTTTGTGTATGGAATGCATATTTTTGTGAAATAATCCATAAAAACTGCAGAAAAGTGTTACAGAGGATACCTTGGTCTCACGTGTGATGGAAATAGCTCTCAGTTTTGACTTAGAGTATATTTCCATTGCGGGTAAGATTTATTTTGATAAATTCTCATAGTGTAATACAGTAATATTTCCTGAGCAATAAATTGTGCTCGAAACGACATCAGTAAACATTACTTTATAACACTGTGAGACTTTATTAAAATAATATTTACCCACAATAGAATTACAATACACAAGTACTATTCTTGTATCAACAGAGTAACTTAACATTTTATGCATGTAATTATTTATGTCTTTTAACCTTAACAATAACCCTAATCTATCCGGAACCTAGCCCTAACGTGAAAATACCCCTTAACTAACTGTGATCTAACTCGAGCCAACCCTAATGTCGCCTTTATAAGGTTAACCTAACCCTAACCTGTCCATGGCTTAAAGCGTAACTTAATCTTTCCCAAACCTTAGCAGAAACTTGCCAGATGTCCCATTTAATAGCACAACACTTCGATGAGCATATTTTATTGATGACGACAACATCACTTACCAGGTTTCACTAACTCGCTGCGTGAGCGTTTCAAGGTCACTGGTGCAGTTGCACTTCATTGGTAACCAGTGGTGCTTAAAGTCTAACTTGGCCACATCTGCTATGTTTAATGCTAACCATATAGGTCTAAGCATGGAAACTCTGACGTCTCCGATGAAAATACAGGTTTGCTCCAACATTGTTGTTGCGTTTCTCATCAAAGCAACCAGACCTTAAGCAAGCACCAAATATGAACAGAGTAAGTTTTAGCGTTAATAAAGGCCTAGGTAGTTAAGACAAAATAGAGTATAATAGTACATAAGTAAAAAGATTATCGTGAGGCAGATAAGCGACCTTTCAGTGAGAAGCGAGTTCAAAGATGTGGGAGATTAGGACCCGCAGGACAAGCTGACCCTTAACATGTCTCACGAATTTATGTAGGGCCCATGGGATAGCATCTTGACAAGAAGCTGAGCAGGCTTGTAGATAGTAGGAGCAAAAGCATTTTTTAAATAATATACATCGTTTTTTGTTAAGGATATAGACTAATGTTTAATTCTCGAGCTGTCAAAAATGTATGTTGTTGTCCTGCAGGTGCAACATCCACCACAACAATTTCTCACGTGGGTCTCTCTCTGTCCTCAGAAACTGTAGCGGCTTGTGATAAGTCTCGATGTGGAACCGTCGGCAGAGTAAATAAAGTGTCCATCTGTCGACCGCCCATACTACTGCCAAAATTCTTTTTCTATCGTCGAATACTTCTGTTCTGTATTTGTTAAAACACTAATGGCGTATTCGACAGCTCTTTCACTCTGTCTAAGTACTGCTCTTATGCCATAGTCACTCGCATGTGTGCACACTTTGAACTTCTTCCAGGTACGGGCAAGTTTAGCGTCATTTTCTTGTGGTCCAGCAGCTGTTTAATACTATGAATATCTTCTGGGTATATTCAAACCAAACAAACTCCGAATCACCTAATAGCCTGTACAGGAGGGCTGCTATCTCGTCGAAATTTTGCACGAATCGACTTTAAAATGCTGTTCTCCTCAGGAACTACCGGAATTTCTCCTTGGAATTTGGAGCCGTAATGGTCTTTGCCCACAAGATTTTCTCCAGTGACTACTTTATGACCCAACGACGTAACACCCCGTTTTTGCTAATGCGCAGTCCAAACTCTTCAATGCGTTTTAACACGGCTACAACATTGTTCACGCTGTTGCTTTCGTTTTTACTGTAAATGACGAGATATCAATGGTCGGCCTGCAAAATTTTGGCTACCAACATCACATGCTGAAAATCCATACTTGTACCAAAATATGGTGTGAAATCAAGCTACAATCAAAATAAAAAATAAGATCACCACCGTACACTTCCACATTCTTCAAGTTGCTAAGTAACAGCGTCATCAGTCGTCCGATGGTAAACGGTGCTCCCTCTAGTCCAAATGGCATGTGTTTAAACCCTTACTGCTTTTGTCCCACAATGAACACCGTCTTATCTCTGTCACTCTGTTTTATCAGTTTCTGTCAATATCCTGACCGGAGGTCGAGCACTGCAAACAACTTCGCACTTTTTAGACTATCGAAGGTCTCTGCTACGGTTGGTGTGGCACACGGTCTGACCTCTGCCATGTTATTTAGCTGTCAGAAATCTACGCAGAAAGTGTACTTGCCTTCTTAGATAAAAGAAATGAAGATTTATATGGGCTGTCAGCCTCTTCAATAATATCACGCCGTAACATCTCCTTCACTTCGCCTTCTAGATGGCATGTGACTCTTCCTGTTTTGAATGGCGTCATTCCGTGACCGCTCAATGGGATTTCATGCCACAACATTTTCACAAAAACCGTAGGGGTCACTATTACAGCGATCAGATGAATATATTCTTTAACTAACACGGACATTCTGTGATTTCAACGCCGTGACGCCTGCTATATCGTTTGTCTCAGACGTGCTGATAGCTCCACACTTCGTGATCACTGCCCTCTCTTTCTTGTTAACCACCTCACCAACCTCTCGCATAAAATCATCGCCAAGTATTGATCGTGGTAACTCAAGCACAACAATGAACAGGAAAATAACTTCGCGACCACCAATAAAAACGCTGCAGTTCGACGTGCCAGTGATGCCTAACACGTGTCCATCTACCGTTTGAACTGTCAATTAACACGGTCTGATGCTCTGCCATAGCTTCCTATCTATTAGTGAGACTGCTGCCCTGTATCGATTACATTGCCCCCCTTTCAATTGC